TATTAGCTTTTGTTCCGCAGACCTTTGCATTATAAATTATTTTAAAAGAACAAGTCTTATTTGAGCTGCATTAATGGATCTCATGAATAAAACATCCAGTGTGTTTTTAGGTCTCCGTTTGTTGAAACGGAGGACGTTTTATAGAGGGCCAGGATTCTTTCGAGTCTCTCAGGCAAATGTATAGACTGCGATGATTCAATTAGTTTAGATTGTGTTGACTTTTGTTATTCATTTCAGCGACAGTCCTTGTCCTTTTTCTTGTCCTTGCATTGCATTTGATATAGCGCTTTTCACGTCGGGAGGACGTCCCAAAGCGCTTCACAGAACAATGTCAATGTCAAACTGCCAATCTCATGGCAGGATTGCAACTCCTGCCATGAGATTGTCAACTCTATTCCCCTCACTGTCGTGAAATTAACTACGCATAGCACAAATAAGCTATACCTTGCACTTAACTCTGCTCACCTTTGGGGCTGAGCCCTTTCCGCTTAACTCGCTACTCAATGGTGTCGTTGAATCCCGCATTGCCTTAATCCTTAATGGCTTGGATTATATTTACTCAGTAAATGTTCTCGAGCAGTTTCTGACAACGGCCGACAGCAATTTTGCAGCTGCAGTTGTCAAGGTAACAGGCTTCCAGATCTTAGCGTAACTTTTCTTACATGAGCAGAAGAGTGCTTAGCCCCCAGCGATCTGCTGAACACTGTTTAACCCGCAACCCAGCAAAGGACTCGCTCCTTGGATCGAGTAGAACAGAGCTTGTGCCAGGGATAGATTCACTACCAGGGGCACACAGAGGAGTATAAGCTGCAAAGGTATTTCCAGTTTCTGAAAGAGTATGGCTCCAGCTCTATAATAATAATAAAAATTGTAATAATAATCCTTGCATTTGATACGGCGCCTTATCACGCCTTTGAGACGTCTCAAAGCGCTTCACAGAATAGTGTCAAGTGAATTGACTGTATATTTTGTGGGCAAAACTGCCGCAGACTGAAGTGACCAAATTATTATTTATTTTTGAAGGCATTATGCAAATCACTTTTGTATACAATCACTTCCAACTTTTTTTTCTTCTGCTGTACGTTAATAAGTCTGATTTAAAAAATACAGGGAAAAGGAAGCATAGCTCCTGCTGCATCTCATTCTGCCAGGAATCCCAAACTGACCTCACTCGAAACTACTGTTCTCCTCGAGTTTAGATCCGGGTCTCCAAACTATGAATACAATTAGACCGCACAGACAGCACTAGTGAACATAATTCGATGCCACAGAATGATGATTTGAATTGAAGCAGCTTTTTTTTGAGAGAGAGAGAGAGAGAGAGACGGAGAGAGAGCTTGAGAAAACAATCCTGAAATTGGAATTGGCAGTACAGAGTAGGATAGATTTTCTATTTTTAAATGGATTTTGAATGGAATTCATTACCTTAAGTGGCGATTAAAGTTGGATCAATAAAATTATCCAGTTCCCTTTTAAATGAACACCTGAACAGTAAGGCATTAAGAATATGGGCAAGAGTCTGAAAGGGAGATTAATGTTAAAGGGTGACTTATGAAAACAGCCACAGAAAGATGAAACCCATTGGTCTCTGCGCTGAAAATTTCCGTTTCTACATCAGGCTAATGTGAATCCAATCATAAATGGGAAAAAAAAATCTATCGAATGTCGGAAGCAGCATTACTGGCAGTAAAACGCTGAGAAGTGGCTGAACAAGACACCCAGCAAAATGTCATTTTTTTAATGAAGAATAAATGGATTTTGGGCGTCTTTGAAGTTCGCCATTGTTGTTAAATTTATGAGGAGATGAAAGGTCACAAGGAGGAATTTATCAGTAAGGTGACTGCTGAGGATTATTAACCATCGTTACGTTGGAGATGTTGTGCACCAAGCAGGGAGCAAGCTGGGAACTGAGTGAGGCCTCTACAACAGGAATTTGGTGAGAGTGGGAATTCGGTGCAGGGGGTGGGGGCATGGGAAGGAGGTGCAGTAATAGCCGTCTTTCACATCGGGAGGACGTCCCAAGGCGCTTCACATCTGCTACAGAGCAATACCCTGGCTGAGCACAAGCAAAAGCTGTGAGCCGACCATAATTTGATTGAGACTGCTCTGGTATGCGAGGACCATGCATGAGTTGTAGCAGGTTGTTTAGGTGATATCATCACCAAACACTTACGTCACTCTTATTTGGAGCCGTTTCAGATATGTGAACATAAGACTCTCGCTATAACGCAAGGATTATTAACATATATTTCTATCTGGACCCATACAAAGACGGGTAGCATTCAGGTCTAGAAGAAGTACTCCAACTTAGCCTTTGAGGTTGTATCCAATTCCTGAAATGTAGCTCACGTTAAAAAAAAACATTCCCTCCCTCAGTAAAGCACTGAATATCCTCAGAGCTTGGTCTGCTGTGCAATTACTTCACAGTGGAGTACTGTGTTCCTGACGCCCTATGTGCCATGTGTGGGGTTTAATCTCAGACGGACGAAACATGAGATAAAACACTGCTGCTCAGATCATCTCTTCTGTATTCCAGGCGTCACTCTCTCTTTTCTCTCTCTCTCTCGCCTGACACATTAATGTCAGGGAACTGCTTGCAATCCCGTCGTGAGTAACAAATTGTCACTCAGCATGACAGCGACAGTTCTGCACTTATCATGGATTTTCCTGATTTACTGTCGTTTCACAAAATAATGAGCAGGACGGAGTTTACAGTCCAGTTCATCTGCCCATCAGATACAGTGCCCCTCTCCCAATAAAGAGAACGTACAAAGCAGTAATTCTTAAATTCGATGGCAATTTCAAGGCTAGTTTTCTGCAGATCTTGGAAAAGAACCGGCTCAAGTCAGTTGGAGATGAAAATTATTATGTTAATGATTTGACTGGCATTAAAACTGAAGATTTAAGCGTCCCCTGATTGAAACCAAATCTGTTGCCAACAAACCACTATCTGCCTCATCTTTTTTTAAAAAAAACATTGTGCGGTATGTTAACATCAACACAACATAAAAGTTTTAATCTTAAATGATTTATAGTCAGTGGGTTGAATTTTAGGATATAAAGTGCCCACTACAGTCACTATGTTGCCCATAGCAGTGACCGAACTACTATTTTGTAGTGGATTGTACTCTACTGCTTGAAGTAAATGATTAATTTAACTGCAGGATTGCCAATCAGCAGAAACTCCCTTCTCTTTTCCAACAGTCATATAATTTTCAACGTCCAACTGATTTGGCAGATAGGAACTCTCTGATAATATACGTCTGATAATAATAATCCTTGCATTCGCATTTTGATACAGCACCTTATCATGACTTTGAGACGTCTCATAGGGCTTCACAGGATATACTGTAAAGTGTGGTGACTGTATATTTTTGTGGGCATGTAGCATCTTCCCAAGTATTGCAGTGGAAAGTCAATCTATACTCTGGATGCAAGCTGGGTCCCTAGGGAATCCTGTAGTTGGCTTGATAAAGTTGCTTTGAATTGAGGAAGATGCGGAGATGAGAGGGAAAATTAATTTAGCAGAATAAATAACTAAATGCCTTTGATCTACCGTGATACATTGATTTATTTCTGTCCATTGAGAGCTAAGAAAGAGATTAATATTTCTTCTCAATTAAAATACAAAATGTTTGATCAGTTAGATTTTGAATATATAAAATTCAAAATTTCAAACAGGACAGTAGATCTTTCATCAATCTCCGAATAAACATTCCTGTATATTAAAACCTGGCTCCAATTCATCTGCAAAATATTAATGGTCTTAAATAATTAACAACCACTTAAAACAGATTGTGTACTAAAACAGGCGGCAGCACAGGAATTGAACTCAAAACTCAGTTATATGAAAAGTAGCAGCTCTGCCTTAAAGATTTGATTTGGAGATGGGAAAGACAGAGGGAGTTCCAAGGATTCGGGGATTTAACAATTAGCGGAGTGGGGGTGTCGGTACTGGTAGGAATAATCACTTACAAGGAATTGTTAGTATGTCAAATGCCCTGCGAGTGTGATGGTCGATGCAGAATCTATATCAGCTTTCAAAAGGCATATCTAAAAAGGAGTAATTTGCAATATGGGACAAATTCAGGTAAACGGAACTGAATAGTTTGTTCTTTCAAAGAGTCAGCACTTGCCCAAAGGGCCAAATGATATTCTTCCATCCTCTGAATCTCTACGGTTCTATGGTAGGATGCGATAACGTTTTCTGTGTACCACAACGGCAGTTTTTATGTAGCATCGTGTGTGTGTGTGTGTGTTTCTCTCTCTCTCTCTCTCTCTTCACTATTTAATTTAAATGCCCCGGAGTATAACAGCAAAGTACCGAATGCTTAATCCGTGTCTGTGCCAGGATTTTATTCATCAGCACACGTCTCGGTCATGGATGGATTTCCAAAGGTCATGCTAATAGTCAGGTTTCTTCATTACATAATGATAAAACTTCTAGAAAACAATTAAATACATTACCCGTGAAAGCGCAGCTGGTTTAACAATGCAACATTACAGACCTCCCATACAGAGAGACCAGTTTTAGCATAAAATCACATAAGCAATCAGTGTACCATGAATTGGTCTCCATAGCTGTCGATACCCAAACACATCTCAAATCATAAACATATATAAGCACTGGCGGAGAGGGAGCAACCCAGGAGATTGTGTGGAATATTCCTCATCGCTTCATGTATATATATCATATATATTTAATAGGGGATTTCACAAAGGAGGATATACAGAAAAAGCTTCAGTCTCTCGCCTGTGTCGTGCTACAACTTCTCTTTTGTCTCGATTCACAAGTTGGACTCTTCAGTTGATTCCAACGCCGCACACACTCACAAACACACACACCCGGCTATTGAACTATTCGTTACCTTTAACACCTACCGAATCTCTATTGCAACTGTCAGTGATGATGAGAGTTCAGAACATTGACATTGTAAGATCCATGTTCCTCTATACACACAGAGAGAGACAGTCACACACACAGACAGTCACACACACACAGACAGACAGTCACAGACAGACAGTCACCGACAGACAGTCTCACAGTCAGACCCAGGTTGGGTGGAGTTCATTTGGGGCACTTGTTCCACTATCGTCACAGTAAGGTGGTAAAGCCAATAATAAATACCTCAAATAATCTTATCAGAAAAGGAGTTGTACTGCCGACTGATCTGGAACTGTCCCAGTCATTTGGTGGCAGCTAATCCTGCCTCTTGCCCAGTGTTGATGAATTGGTTTGGCAGTATGGCGTTGAGAGCCAGCTCCTGCCTGCATGATGCGATGTGATGGGTGTCACACAGCTGACAGGCCCATTGGATTGGCTGAGTTGGTGCTCTTCTCCCAGCTGTTTAGTTTGGTAGGTGTTGACCCAGCTCGATCGCCATTTACCTGGAAGAAACGCACAGCTGACGAGATCTTTACCAAATAACGAGATCACATTAAAAACAAGGCCGGTTACAAATGAAAAGCCTCTTAAAACACGAGTGTTCCCAAGTTTCAGGTTTGGCACATCAATGTGTCTCTTCCCCACCAGTCACTCACTCCCTCCCTCCACCCTCCCCCACCCCCCACTTCCCCCTTCACCCCCACATATTTGTACTTACGATATCCGAGTTGAAAGGTTTGACATTCGCATTTCGGATTGAACTGCTGTTGAGAGTCCAGACCTTCGTTTTGTGCTTAAAAGCAGCTCGGACCTGAAAGCAGCGACGAGGGAAGAGTGCAAGGTGGGAAGTCAATACACGGGGCTCTCTTAAATGCGTACAAGTGTCTTTCGCATCAGGTCATTAGTGATAAGTTACAAGCGAAAGAAAGGAGCCAGGGGCTGGACGTGGTGTGTGGATTCCAGTCGGTATTTTACCAGCGCCGCCCCACTCCAAATCCAGGTAAAAGATTTCAAGTTTAAGTTAAGGCCGGGGAGGGTCAAGCTTAAGGCGTGTGATTCTACCTTGATGTGTCGCTCTCAAGCGTAAATGATCCTCGTGTTATCTTACTGTGTAGCCGTGGCATTAACAAGCCTGTACTATAACAAGCCCACACCACCCAGACAATCTGCTCTTTATACTGTTCCATCTCTCTTACGTTGATTGATGCAAACTCCCTGGCTATGCTTTGAGTCACACTATTCCACATCAGAGTTCTGGTCCTTACAGCTCCAGGCATAACATTAACATTAAGTTCTGATGAAAGGTCATCGACCTGAAATGTTAACTGATTTTCCTCTCTCCGTAGATGCTGCCTGACCTGCTGCTGCGTGTTCCCAGCGACTCCTCTCTTTTTTTTTATTTCAGATTTCCGGGGTCTGCAGTATTTCGCCCATATTTTTTTTTTGCTTTCAATTTAATATATAAAATTAACTGCTTCGGTCGCTCTGAACTATCACGTGCGGAGAACGCACCACGCGACGCTTCTCGTGTGACTTACCTCTGAATTCAGAAGGCAGTGGAAAAGAAAAATAAAAAATCCCTGAAAAGAAAAATAAATAATCTTTCACAGTTTACAGGTAAGTCAGATCACGATGGAGAAGATGACAGAATCGCCAAGGTTATTACTTCTGTTCAGAAATGTTTCTTAACTGATATAACGAATGTTATGTAACTCACATCGGTTGGTAATGTCAGACATTTTCTCATCCGCACTCAAACACAATGAATAATGAATTTAAAAAATGCACACACACCCACAGAATTTCAACAGCTGGGTTTTCTTTCAGGTAATAAATGTCACGGTTTACCTGTAGGGAGTTGAATAATGCAAACATATACTGGAATATTAGAGTGTGTTTATTAATCGCCAGCACTCCAAACGCCCAGGATATTCCCAAGATTGGAAGTAGGACAGCAACAGCTTTCGCTGTCAGCCTGAAAGTACAGGAGAGAAAATGACAACCAGGAAATCAATTTCAAACACCATCTCAAGCAATAAGTGGAGGTGCTGGACAGCACATTCAGTCAGGGTATTGGTCGGTTGCACTTCAATGAAACACTTGCCAAGAAATCCATACGGTTAGGAATCAAATTGGTTCCTACTTTAAAGCGTTGTCAGAATCAACGGTGGTAATATTGGTGAGGACTTTGGGGGCAGGTGTGGGCAAAAGAGAGGGAGGTAGAAGGCTGGCAAAATCTCCACAACAAGTCTGGACGAGGAACAAATTGGAGATGACCCTGGTCTCTGTCCATAGCCACACGCACTTGCTTTACGTGCATTAATAATCCGAGGCTCTTTGTCTGTGGTATGTTTGGTTCCCAAGGCCTTTGCGAGACAATGTTACTTTGCAACTTAAACAAAAGATGGTTTCATCTTAAAATAATTCCAATGTTATATACTCTACAACCAGTCTGAATTCAAGTTATCTAATGATTGGTTGAGTAAACCTCTCCTCCCCCCCACCCCACCAACCCTTTAAATACATTTGTATAGCGCCTTTCACGTCAGGAGAACATCCCAAGGGGCTGGACAGTCAAGGATTTGGACCTGAGCATGACTTCCATGACTTCCCTTCCCCACACGGTGGCCTGGATTAAATTCTGGGACCACCAGCCCATTGAATCTGGCATTCACCTCTGATGGTTAACAAACAAATGATTTCGCATGAATATAAAATAGATTAGGAATGTTGTTCAGTGTGCTCTTCCAGTGCTATAACACATACTACTACTGTGCATTTCCCCAGTCAGCCCATTACTGTAATGGGTCCCATTATTCAGAATTATAACCTTTCATTATTACTTTGCAGAGGTTTGAAACCGTACATTGGCACTTTCAGCTGCATGTAAATTCATATTTTATGTTCCAATCCGGGAGTAAAAAAGTTACATTTTAATACGGAACAAGCCGTCGCCGTAAATTGACCCATCAAATTCTTCACTTTTCCCTCTACTTTTGATTAAATAGTAGGACAGTTAACAGTTTTAGCACATTCCATTACGGGGCCATTTATACGATTATTAAATCAAGCAAAATCGAAAATGAAAGGGGACCGTTTGTTCCCCCATTTCACTGGGTCGCGAAGTATGACACAGAAACGAGCTTTGTGGCCTCTCACTGGGCAGCAGTCACTATTTGTGACGCAGCTTATTTTGGGCGGGTGGCAATTTGCAGATTCCTGAGATCAAACCAAGTTCCCATCAGTCTCCACACTTATTGCCCCTCGGGGGCCATAAATCCCTTTGGAACTCTTGCAAAACCACTCAGCCTGAAACGTCCCCCCTCCCGCAGACTCAACACGTAGAACACAGACACAGACACGCATGAATTTAGTAAAATAACAAGACTCCGAGATACACACAAACCCACAGCAATGCAACTCACGTTGCAGCCCAGCAGTACAGTACAGGTATGTTTTATCATATCAATTATTTTATCATATAACCTTAATATATATATATATATACTTATTGATTAAGATTATAATAAGGATTCGTATTGATTGGTGACATTCCCTGGCAATGAGAAGATTGTGGCTGGTTCCGAGTTTCCGAAACTAGAGTAAAAACCCTTTCTAATTGAACTGTAATTACTTGGTTTCACACCCTGTCTTAGTTTACAGCTGACTGCCTTTAAACGCAAGGCAGACAGTTATCACTGGGACGGTAATGGATGAAGCCGATTCTCCGGTTCAGTGAGAAAATGAAGAAGGCTGAAGCTAAAAAGCACTTAAGACTTTTCAGGTTATGATTAATGGCGTTTAATGAAAGTGGATCCGGGGACAAGTGTGCGGGAAGATTCAGTCACTCACTTGAATGCATTGGCATCTCCGTGCATCTTGTAGTTATCAGAACTGATTCTGGATATGATTCGCGTCACTGCGATCAGGATGCCGATGTTCACCTACATTAAAAGAGAGATGGGTTACGTTCTCCGCAGCGAGAATTGCTCTTTGTGAAGCTTTAGCCCACAAATATGCAGTCAATTCACTTTACAGTGTATTCTGTGAAGCGCTTTGGGAAGTCTAGAAGACATGAAAAGCGCTATAACAAATGCAAGGATTATTATTATTATGATTATTATATTATTGAGCCGCATAGAAGGAAAGCCAATCAGCTCAGGCTTGAGAGCGGAGTGTTCTCACCCATTTAAGGTTTGCGATACAATCCAAAATGACATTTGTATCGCGCCTCACCGCGTCTTCGAGACGTCTGAAAGCGCTTCACAGAATGTACTGTATAGTGAATTGACGGTGTGTTTTCGCGGGCGAAACGCGGCAGCCGATTGCGCACGGCAGCGTCCCCGCAAACAGCCGTGGATTGAGCGACCACATCTTCTTTTAAAAATCCAAGGAGCTGTCAGTGGTTGACCAGCCTGTATGGCTTCTCGTTGAGACTCAGGAGATATTGTCCTCTCGTTGCAGGCCACAACCCAGACAGTTATGATGGTTGTTGGCATTGTCTTGTTCCTATGCAATGCCCGGATGACTTGCTTTATTTGCTTCAACCACACACAACTGCAAAAAGTTAAACACTAAGCTAATAAGCGTAGCAGAAATGTGACATTTCCCTCTAATGTGTTTGCTGAAAAATGCATTGTGATGGGAATTTTAAATCCCATTCATGAGGCATTAATAAAAGCATTGCTCAAAAATTCTAAAGTCCGATTCACTTATTATGGTATAATGAAAGGGTTCAAGGTGAGGTTATTAGGATCTCTATGTCGGTCGGTCAGTCAGTCCCAAGTTGGCTCACAAACTATTTCTTATGCACATCAAGTCTGCTAAAATCTTTTAATCTGGGGAATTAGCATTCTGCTTTCGGAAAGATCCATTTCTGGTTCATAAAATATACAGATAATTCACTTTACTAAAATATACAGGAGTCTTGTAGCTCAGTGGTTAGAGCACTCGCCTTGCAAGCGAGACCCCTGGGTTCAATTCCAGGCAGAGGGCGAAACCTTGGGCAAGTTTCCTTACTCCACACAGAGCCTAATAATAATCCTCCAAAACAAAACAATAATAAATTGGGTCAGTTTCAATCCACGGCTGTTTGTGGGGACGCTGCTGTGCGCAATTGGCTGCCGCGTTCGCCCACAAATATACAGTCAATTCACTTTACAGTGTGTTCTGTGAAGCGCTTTGGGACGTCCTCCCGACGTGAAAAGCGCTATATCAAATGCAAGGATCATCATTATTATTATTACAGTTAATTCAGTTAGTTAGTTTTCTGTGAGGAGGGATCCGAGCTGGAACTTGTAGAAGCTACCAGCTCGTGATCCAGAAAATATCAGATGTATCTAACTCAAAACCCAGACTTCCTTTCACAGCGCACATAGGAAGTTAATTCGCAAAGCCCTGAGTTCATAAATGAGACAGTGAGGCGTGCTGGACAGTTCAGGTTCATTACAGAGCCATTAATCACGTCTGTGCTAAACGGAACTAATCCTGCAATTCACTGCCATCACATGCACAAGTGAGATACCCTGCTACTCAATGTCAACATGCACAAGAGATTCTATTTCTCTGTCAAGAACCACTTGGGCCACATGTAAACAAATCATTTCATTTCCCCCGTACTTCTTGTAGATGCAACGTGTGCAGCCCAAGGCATCAGTGTCTGATCCACATGAACTGCAACTGCATCTTGACAGTCACCCGTTAGCACCAAATCAGATACCTTAGCCTAAGTGTAGATAGTTCAGGCTGGAATCAATGAATTCAGGAGTCGTGTGTTGTAAACAGATCAAAGGCTCAGCTATGTGTTTTACTGGAGCCACAGGTCCTCCCACCTGTGAGGCGAGTGGCCTAACCTAATAATCTAAATATTAATCCCTCCAAAAACAAAAACAATAATAAATTGGTCATTTTCAATGTTTGTGGGACGCTGCTGTGCGCAATTGGCTGCCGGGTTTCGCCCACAAATATACGGTCAATTCACTTTACAGTCTATTCTGTGAAGCGCTTTGAGACGTCGAGAAGACGTGAAAAGCGCTATATCAAATGCAAGGATTATTATTATAACCACTGCACTACAGAAGTTTTAATGTAAATAATCAGAGGGATGTCACCACAGAGAAGTAGAATCTTGAACCAATTTGGTGCTTGGCATCAGTACACAGGAATAAGGATAAACATTTGCTTTACACTTCGAGCAGCTTCACAGAACTTGCTTTCGCCTCACACCCCACAGGGTATGCAGAATAATACAAGTAGGCGGCATTCATGCGAAAATGGACTCATTTATAATAGTGCCTTTCCTGTAAAAATAGCCGAAAATGTTTTAACTCACCAGAATGACAAACAGTGCAGGGGCCACAAATGCCCAGATGGCTCCTCTCTCCAGCGATAGCCAGCAGCTACAACAGGGAAGAATACATAAAGAGTTACAGTAAAAAAAAACACAACGCTGACACAATTCACAAGTTGACTGAGTGCACATCTAACCCACGAGCAAAGTATCTGTACATTATGCAACAGTTCGTCTGCGCTGATGAGTATTGAGCGAAACAGTGACCGTCCAAAGATCAAGACTGATACAAACTCACTTGTCCTCTTTACCATAACTGGCAAAGGCTGATGTAACAGACACAACGCAGATCACCAATGGGGAACCTGAGGGAGAAGAGAACACAGAGAGCATGAGCAACATGTAACCTCTCCACCAAACAGATGGACGTTTGGTCCACGCCTGAGCTTATGTCTGTAACTGTTTTATATAAGTGTCTGTCAGAACTGCACTGACAAGGGAATAATGAATAACTAGAGGCATTTCAGTGGATTCTAATTCTGTGGTGCAGATAATGTCACACTGCACGAGTTAAACCCGAGCATTTATACACCACATCTACGCCCAGATTATAGGTTTTATAATGTGATGTAGATCATCCCAACATGAGTCTTAATGACATTGGTCAATCGCTGGGATGTTGAACTCCATCCACTTCTCTATCCACATGTGGCACTCAGCACGACAGGCTAATGATCGACACCCAATTATTAGGAATTCTGAATATCTTGATATTCCAACCACATTGATTTATGTACTTATACATCTGCATAACTGCCCACGCCTGGTAAATTGTCACCGAGGCCCTTTTTCCTTGGAGTGACGAGTTAATGGGAGGTTACTGTGATTTCCTGATCTCTCCCTTCATTTCTTTCGATGACAGACTTCAATATAAGGAACCTGGAGGTCATCAACTCAGGATCGTTAACGGAAAACTTTAAGAGAATTAGCAATTATCTTTCTCTTATTTTTTGAGGTGTAAATTTGCCCTGGATTTTTTTTTTAAAAAAAAGCCACTCAGACTAGTACCAGCATTAATGTTACTCACCCCAACCTATCCCATAGTAACACAGGTGTTTGCTTTCCTCTGATCCGAACACTTTGACCACCATGCTGTAGAGGTGCAACCCTTCCACCAGCATCCAAGAGAAGGCACTCAGGAAGAAGAAATGGAGCAGGATTGCCAGGGTCGTGCAAGGCAGCTGGCAAAACAAAAATGGGAGGGATTGCTCTCCTCGTACTGCACAGACACCCGCGCAGTAAAGCAACGAGCAACGGAAGGGAGAAAGACGCACGTGTTTCCCTCGGGTCGGTAGCGGTTTCAGAGAATTGCACAGCGCGGGAAGGAGGCCATTCGGCCCACGGTGTCCAAATCAATCTCGCTCTCTCCACATTCCCTTGCAAATTTGCCCTCCCCAAATATCGATCTATTTGGTACTTGTCTCGGAGAACGTCAGTCACGTTGGGGAATGCAGAGAGGAGCTGAGCTCCCAGTGGAAAAAAAAAACGGACGGTTTTCCAAACCCTAAATCTGGGAAAATCTGCGTCCAAGTGTGTATAGCAGGAGCTCCACGAGGGTTGGCTGTGGCGGAGTTAAGCGGACCTGGTTTTGTTCCACACCTGTGCTCCGGCAGACCAGAGACAACGCAACAGAGGCTCAGAATGATGGTACAGAATAATCGGGAGTGATTTCTTTTTTAAATAAACAGCAGCTGTGATTCACAGTCTCTCTCTCTCTCGCCGCCCTCCCCTCTACTCCCAATGAACGAGCGCAAGATATATTCGGCTGGCGATCTCCATCGAGCAAGGCTATATTTATCAGTCCATGTGTATCAGGAAAGCCGCCCACTCGATGATTCATCCGATCATATCCTAATCCTCTTCTGCACTGCAGGACGTGACGGGGCTTACACAGCTCGTTGCAAACCTCAAACCCGGCTCCACTTCGGGAACGGGCACCCACCTCCCGCCCACCGCCACTCACCGTGCCCGGGTAGAATCGGAAGCTGACGAGCAGCAGAAGCTGGGCCACGAGGATGGCGAAGGCCAGGTTGCCGTGGATGTGGTAGCGTTGGTTCCGTATTGTGCTCACGGACCTGCTGATGGCACACGGTCAGTTATTCGATCCACTATCAAGAGCACAAGCGGAGCGGCAGCTCTCGGCTGCGGTGGCTGACACTTAATTCCGATTTCGCCCGCAAAATTAATAATAATAGTAAGAAGAAGAATCCTTGCATTTGACGCGGCGCCTGGTCAAGGCTTCGAGACGTCTCAAGGAGCTTCGCAGAACACACGGCAAAGGCAATCGACTGTGATAATAGTTCGCTTGACAGCGTATTCTGCGAAGCGCTTCGAGAGGTCTCGAGGACGCTCTCGGGCGCTGTATCAAACGCCAGTATTATTTGATATTTATTTCCCGCCCTCAAGTGCCTCGAAAAATCGCTGCCCGCGCCTCCACACCCCATCGCCCCCCCAACCCCCAATACCCCCCCCCACCGCCTTACCACCCTCACCCGTGCCTCGCCACAGTCGCCCCTCCCGCGGTAATGCATACGCTGCCGCCCTCTTCGGTCGAGCCGTGAGCGAGCCAACAGCTGAACGCCGCCGCGAATGAACGCGGCCACGCCCGGCAGGTACTCACGATAGGATGGCAAAGGTGATGAGTGTGACGCACAAGCAGACGATGGAGATGGAGCAGCCCACGTAGGTGATGGCGGAGAGTGCCACCTGGTGGCCGCGGCCCATCTGTGCGGGAACAAGACAACCGCGGGTCAGCGATCGGCATTTGTTTCAGGGCCGTGTTTCGAATTACAGCTAATGAGGGAGTCAGAATAACTCCTTCTAAAAAAAAAACGCACACAAGAATAAATTGGCCGCTCAGTCCACACTTCTGTGCGCACTTGGCTGAAGTGATGAGGCTCTATATCAAATGCATTGGGTTTTTTTTATATATGATATATTATATATAGATGTGTATATATTATTTTTATATACGTTCACCGTTTACCCAGTTCCACTAATGAGCTGTTGTCCTTGAAATAGGGATCAGGAATTGCCGGGAACATCGACGGTACTGCGAGCTGGAAATAATTACCCATTCCACCCCCCCCCCCCCACCCCCCTTAAAACCCAGTCACGGACCGCAGAGCCTACCCCACAAACCCCAGCAGGTTTAAGGGCCCGTCTCAAACCAAGTGGAATCACATGAAAATGTGCAATCAGTCCCACTCCTGCTGCCAACATCAGCACTGCATGAGATCACACAACACCAAGTTCGAACGCTCGGGGCTGTTTTGGCCACGACGTACTTTTCATTAACACCAAGCTGACAGCATGCAGTCAGGTTTAAGCAGCTTCCAAGTCTCTTGTTCCTTCGGCAGCTCTGTTTCCAAGCGCTCAGAATGTCACCGCAACAGCAGTCTAATCAGCCCTCTCTTACAGCAGGCAGAAACTGCGATCTTATTTCACAAGTCAATAAGAAATACTGGTGGGGGTCCTCGAGTCTTGAAATCTAGCATTGACACCAACCGTGGTTTCGCGCCAACCGTGGTTTCTCTGTGTCGGGGGCCAAGTGAGCAAGTCGTTAATAAAGGCTCTCCATTGACACAAGGTGCTTGAAGAGCATCGCGGGAAAAGCCAGGGTGAGCTACGGTCCGAACCACGTTGTGTTGTAAATTTGGAAATAGGCAAAAGGTTAGTCAGAAATCCATACAGAGGACAATGACAGAATATTATTTAGTCAAGTCTACACCAGTGTTTTTCTCCACGAGGTAGCGAATCTAGGCCCACTCTCCCATTTGTCCTCCGCACCCTGTACTATTCTTCCTTTTCGACCTTCCTATTAAAACACCTTCGAAAACCTTTTATTCCTTCTATTCCTTTTAAAACACGTGATGGATTGGGCTTTGACCACTCGGGGTGTCAGGAAATTGTCCTCTAGGCTGCGAATCACCGCTGGATTAGAACCCGGATCAGGACAGAAATCACAAACCATTGGCGAAGCTCCTCGGCGTTTCTTTCCAAAACGTTAAAATGCACAATATGGTTTCACACAGAAAGGCAGCTCCGCTGTCTGGCATCTCATTTGACAAGTCCTGACAGATGCCAACTTATCCATTTGTAAAATGGGAACCCCTCCCCTCGATGTCAACCGCCTGATACGACTCCAAATGGCTTTTAAACGTGTGTTATGACAATCATGTCCCTGGGAGGTGAAGAGAAAACTGTGCGCAAACAGCACTCTAACTGAAAGCCAGCAGGGGTCAGTGGCTGACAGTGTAAGAGTACCACGTCTATCATTAGTGGCTGTGTTCCCTGCGGAATAAAGACTCCAGCTCTTTACTCTCCATCAGAGGAACGTCAACATAAAGCCAGATCCGGCTGTGTGAAACACCCATTACCAGAATCTCTCAAACTCTCAAACACTCTCAAACAGTGGAGTCCTGTAGCTCAGTGGTTAGAGCACTCGCTTTGCAAGTGAGAGACCTGAGTTCAATTCCAGGCAGAGGGCGAAACCTTGGGCAAGTTTCCTTACTCCACACAGAGCCTAATAATAATCCCTCCAAAACCAAAAACAATAAGAAATTGGTCATTTTCAATCTACGACTGTTTGTGGGACATTGCTGTGCGCAATTGGCTGCCGCGTTTCGCCCACAAAATACAGTCAATTTATTTAGCAGTGTATCCTGTGAAGCGCTTTGAGACGTCTCGAAGACGTGATAAATGCAAGGAATATTATTATTACTATTATTATAACAGCTAACTTCACTGGGCAAGAAACTAAGTTTGAAATTAATGGTTCAAACTCCAATGTCGCAGTGCAGCACAGGAAGAACAATGTGAAGATGCTATTCTGGAGCCACGTGCCGGCTGCGAATTACTTAAGGAATTTCCTACACAAACGGGGCCGTTGAGCATTCATCAAGCACCTCGGAAGGTCCTCCCAACGTGAAGGGCGCCATATAAACTTAAATACATATTGTGGCTTAAAACAGAGAAGGAGATTGTCTAATGGGGTAAATCAGAGGAGAGGACTCTCTCATTCCAGGCAACCAATTTCACGTTTGAAATAAAGTTTGCTTCGAGCAGCTGGGAACAATTTTCGGATAATGGGATCCAGATATCCCGCGAGACATTATTATTCACCAACGGCAGATAAGATCAGCTCGATTCATCTCAACAGACCTGGAGTGTTTTGCATTTGTTAAAAAAACACAAGAATTTGCTGGGAGAAAGACCAAGCTCCGTCTAGTTTGCCTTCCACTTTCCTGGCAGTCGCTTGACACGTCGTGACCCAAACTACATCCTGTGTCCTGAGATATTATTTTGAAAGAAATGACATTTTCTGCTTCCACTGCCTCCTCAGGGAGTTAGTTCCGTAAGCCAGTCAGTCACTTGCTCCAACCTCCGACACTCAGCCAACCCCAGCCTCTCGCCCTTACCTGCAGTGGGACCACCTGCATCAGGATGGCAAAGTTGGTCAGATGATTGCAGAGGCAGACAGAGTACGAGATGTTCCCTCCGATACGAGCACAGCCTTCGTTGGACCAAACCGCTGCCCCCGAGCTGCGAGGATTGAAGGACTCACTCAGTAAATGTCTTTCCTTTTATTTCCCCCCCCACCCCCCGCCCCTTACTGTTCTTTGAGCTCCCGTATCCTGCACCCAGCTACAACAACTTACAGTTTTACACAGCGCCTTTCACGTCGGGAGGACGTCCCAAGGCGCTGGACAATCGGGGAACTGGATCCAAGGAGGGGTTTGGGATCAGAGGGGTGGGTGGTTGGAGTTCCAAAGAGTCGGGGGGAAGCACAAAGTTCCATCTCCCAGTCTGCCTGGGCCACAAACAAGAAGGTCACAGTATGTGCTGAGTTATTGATCTCAGCCTGGAAGTTGGGGGGAGTGGGGGAGAGGGGGTAGAAGGGGAAATAAACTACCTCATCAGTCCTAAACTAAAAGGGGAAAGACCAGGACTGAAGACCAGGACTGAAGCACAGAGAACCAGATCGCCAGAAGCTCAACATAAATAACGCCTTCAAAAACATTCTGCAACTTGGTGAATAAATGTCAGTGTTTCTGTGTCTGGAGCTACAGTGAAGTGGGAGCAACAAAATCACCGACTGGGATGGGTTCGCACTCCCACCTGAAATCCAGGAACGCACACCAGAGATGGGCCTGGTTGCTGATGTTCACGGCATAGCTATACTGTTCTTGCGTCTGTAAGAGAGACGGAGGGGAGACTTCACATTAGTTTCCTCAGTTATTTCAGATGCCGAGCTCTGGCCTTCCTCGTTGCCAGATGCATTGAGTCAGGACTTGTTTTCATTACATGAATCAAACTCACACTCGCAGAACTTTGGGTCACATGCTTGACTTTTTGCCAGATATTTTGGCAACGGTGCATGCCTTGCACGTGATGGTCTGGGGTCGTGGGGTGGGGGGGGGACGGGGGAGGGCCGGGCGGGGTGGGGGAGCTCTGGAGAAACACCCCGGGGTCAGCAGCTGGACGATTCCAAGCATTCCAAAACACTTGCAGACAGCGCACAGCCCCAGCGAGGGCGAGCAGCTTCACATGTAACGTGTGCTGGCCTTTTCCAGCATGCTCCACTGCAAGTACAGCCTCGTTTCATGCATCAAGAAGATTAACAAACAACCACAAAATCTTACCAGGAAACATTAAATCTAAAGTAGCCGGACATTTGGTTAGCGATTTGAATTATGGCTTGCGTGAATTCCCTTGTGTCCAGGAGGGAATTGGCAATAGGGAGTTAAGGAACTCCCAGGCAGTTCTTCCACGGTGTCTGGTACAGCTGTCGGGGAGGGGTGGGCGGGTGGGTGGGGGGGGGGAGGGGGGTGTAGGCCAAGCCAGGAAATATTCGCAGAGAAACCACTCCCCGAGCAGGGCTGGGGACGGGAAGCGAACCTCGATCAGTCGGGTGCTGTACCAAACACCCCGCTCCTTGCAGGGGCAAACTCACGCCACAGGGGTCCTGACTACCGTCTATCGAACGTGCGGGATTTCTAACAGAAACACACGAGCGCAAGAAGCAACCTGTAGATTAAGGAGGAATAATTCTCATTTGAGATAATAGTGATGATAATAATAATAATAATAATCCTTGCATTTGATATAGCGCTGATCACGTCTTCGAGACGTCTCTGAGCGCTTCGCAGAATACGCTGTAGAGTAAACTGACTGTCAATTTTTGTGGGCGAAATGCGGCAGCCAATTGCGCACAGCAGTGACCCCCACAAACAGCCGTGCAGGCCGGGGCTGGTGTTAAAGCCGTCTCTGCTGGAGGCTCGCTGGCCATGGGCTGCTCCACACCAGTTGCTGGGCTCGTTGCCCAGGTGTGGCACCAATAGTTTGTTGCCGTCTCTGGTAACAGAGAAAATGCTGCTCCTTTCATGGTATTTTATTACATTTTTACTGTTGTGGTCTATAGTTTTATGCCAGCAATAAAGCTTTTACAGTCCATCTGGTGCAATGATTGTAAAACCCTCTCTCACAGTGTTTGACCTGTTACAATTGGGACAAATTGTTCATTAATGGCGAGATGGAGTTGTGAAGCCACTTCAAATGGAGTTGGGCAGCCGAACTAAAGTATCTACGCTCTGATCTTTACCGTCGAGTGCGCAGAAACTGAACCCTGGATTAGGGGTTGCGTTTGTGATAGAGTGACTCCACAGTAAGGGAAACTTGCTTCTTTCTGAATCAGTGCTGTAACGGTGCAGACAGCATCCATTTTGCATTACCAGGATTATCTCAATGACTGGACGGTGCTGATTTAGCAGCAGGATAGCATCCTAGAAGGAGCTGGAAATATCAACGTAACAGACCAGGCACTACAGGGAAGCCTGAGATGCTTCACGTCCCATCGCTGCCTGAGAGGATGAGGTTTGATTGAACCTTAAGAACCACACAGCACTGTATGCGAACGACACAGGCAGATGTCAGGGGTCAAACTCTGGCTCATGTTGGAGCAGGAGTCTGGGGAGTGTGGCCACTTGCGTTAGTGTTGGGCTCAAACATGCACGAGTTCGACGTGAATACTTTGCAGCTCCAAATTCCCAACACAAATGCTCACTTATCAGCAGATGAAGTGAAATACTAACCCAGGCCTCCGACCCCTGTACACCACGCAGGTGATGAGGTCACTAACTGATCCCGACGTAACAGCAATTGATTGCTTTTCTCAAAGTAATCTTAAGTCATCGCTCTTAACCACCAGAGTTGCTGCTTTATCTCAAGCTATACTTTATTCCCTGGCACACTCGAAAGTGACTGGGACTGTTTTAATAAACAGAAACTCATTCCTTCCATATGATTTTTTCAATACAACATTTCGTCCCTCAGGAAATTGATTTCATGGTTTGAAGAATGTAGCCGCCTTGATTAGGGCTTGGCTAAGTTCCAGCACAATGCTTTGCAAACAGATGCTGGACGTATGAATGGGAATTAGATTGGACTTTCTCCTGTATCCTTTGCTTTTAGTCCACTTTTTCCCTTTCCTCCTCTCCTCAAGGCACTAACTCGGGCGCCTTGGGGGAAAGGTTCCACAGATAGCTCGCGTTACCTGACAGAAAGTGGTCATTTTTTTTCATGGGGTGAGCTCTGACATTGAGGGTTGTCGGTGGTGTAATGAGGTATCGCATTAGGGTTGGGGTGAAGCATCACAGCTGAGCCCAAACCTGCCCTCCTCTAACATCCACATACATCGCTTCTCTCAAAAGGAGGCAAATGAACCCAGACAGATTATTCCCCTCCCCTTTTCCTAAACTTAACTCAGCACACACCCTCCAGTTTGCTCCAGCACCTCAGGGACATGCGGAGTGAACTCTGTTCAAGTTAATGTTTTGTATGAACTGGGTGCGAAGCAACAATATGGAACCTTTCGTACCTCGGCATTAATTCCCTCACAGAGTAAAGTCAGCTGTGGTTTCTTTAGAGAAACAGTCACAGTGTTTGGAACGAGCGGAACAGGAACTGAACGTCCAACCATTACCCAGTTATTTCTCTCGACCACAACCGTCACATCACTGGCACCTGGGACCCAGCTCCATCCAAATGATTATTAAATGAGAAAAACTTTTCGCATTTAGAAGAGAATTTGCTTTGAGCCTTGACTTTCTCCCAGATTTCAGATGCATTCTCATTTTTTTTTAATGCAGACTTCCCATTAATTGTATTATTCAATGTCACAGCTTGCACATTCCTGCTCCTTTACAGAATATGTTCTCCCTATAATCTTCGCATTCCTCATACAAAAGGGAGGATTCGAACGGCTGTGGTATCTGCATTATATTATGTAGAATTTCTGAGGCTCTCCCTCCCGCATAAGCTATCCAGCCTCGTCTGTGAGACTCTCTTGAAAGATTCCGGAAACATTTTTATGACCGTTTTCTGGTAAACCAGTTGTAACGGCTCAGATCTGAAAACCTGCCGTGCATTTGCTAATGAAATCGGATCGATGTGTCAGCAATACACGTCAACTCTTCTCGACCTCTGCAAAGCCCTCGGATTTGCTGTGAACTCACAGAAAGCACTGCAATCATCACAGACCCGTGATAAAATTGATAAAACTGCACGACACCAACGATGCTAAACTAAGCAGGCTTCTACCCTGTAAAGTAAGAATCCCTTTACATAGCTGCTCAATGACTCAGAGTTTTCCTGCTAACACAAACCAAATATAATCTGCAAGAGCGCTCAGAAATGACAGGGCCCCCTGCTCCACCACTCAGGCTCCTATTTGGCACCAAACACCCACTCGCTGCTGGGTCCAGTCTTTCATTTAGCGTTGTAATTAATAACATGCACTAAAGTAATTTTAGCAATCGTTCCGCAGCTCCAGCCCCACACAGCTGCACCCCACTCCGAACCCCGGAGTTAACCCTCTCACGGACGGACAGCCACGTGGCTCAGGCTGTGCGGGCTATTCAAAGAAAATAACAGGTCGTAAGGAGTAAAAAGAAACAACAAAGAAATAATAATTGGGTCGCTCGGTTCCACGGCTGTTTCGCCCACAAAATACACAGTCAATTCGCTTTACAGTGGAGATTCTGTGAGGCGCTTTGAGACGCCTCGAAGACGTGAGAAGGCGCTGTATCAAATGTGAGGATTATTATTATCACCATTGGTGCTGTGTGTGATAAGAGAAACGCAAGCCATTGGTACTGTGCAGGATATCAGAGAATAACAGGCCACTAGTGGTGTGTACATTACCACCATCCCCCCCCCACCCCCTCCGCCAGACCAGCAATACAGTACAACACTTGTTTTATGCCAAAACCCATCAAGACTGAAAGCTTAACATTGGAACGCAGTGTTCCTACGTGGAACCAGCCCCCACGTTCAAATTTGAACTGAAGAATTTTTCACAATTCTACACCGTCTTAAATTTTAAGACAAAATGGTCCGAGACGGAGTAGAAATTCATCAGTCTGGCTTAGTCGGCGGCCCTTTTTTTCTTCTGAGCCAGAAGCCAGTCCTAAATTCAGCCTGAATTTGAAACAACTTTACGCAATTCCAATTAAATTCCAATTTAATGTCCAATTAAATTCTAAGACAATTTCTGGCTCCTGCAGCGAGTCGGGACATGGAGTGGGCTGGCAGCTTACCATCACGTGCTTGAGAACGATGGTGATTAGTGGCGAGCCGGACAGGTTCTGGGAGAGAGACGGGCCTGGTTCCATCTTCAGAGAGATGATGTAACTCGTCACTGTCATCTGAAGGTCTTTGTGCGGAGTCGCCTCTTTGATCCTGAGCACAAGAACAAGGAGCGAGTGAGTGTCAGTCACATTTCCCCCAAAGATGACTGACTGATGTACTGCTGCTGAGACAGTATACGTATTCCTCTTTGCTCTGGCAGAGTTCAGCGTCCTCTAACAACACACACAACGGCATTGGAATAGTCATGAACTGAGGCCTGAAATTCCAGCCAGATCCAGGGTTAACATATCGTCAACACTAAGGGTTGCCTTGAAGCTCAGGAACATAGAAACAGGAGTAGGCCATTCGGCCCGAGCCTGTCCCACCATTTTCCAAGATCATGGAATTATACAGTCAGCGTTTTTTCATCTTTTCATCATAATTTAGGCCGCTGACATCAGGAATGAAGGGAGCTATATAAATGAAAGTTGTCATTGTATCGTTCCCGTAAATTGTAGAGCTTGCGACTGCAAAACTTTTGAAACGTTCTTAAAAATTCAGTCTCCGTTTGGAAGCCAGTTCTATATAAAAAGGACCTGGAGAAAAAATGGCTTCTAAATTAACACTGAATCATTTTCCAAAACGATGCGTGATCTGAAATTAATAAAAAGGGCCTCAAAACTAAGACCACATGGGCCAATTTTGGGCCAACTGACCACTAACAACTGATACAATCAACGGTTACAATCTTAACTCTACAATCACACACACTCCCAAAATTAGCCATCAGCTTTAAGTTAGCTTTAACGTTTATTCCAACAGTCAACTCTGGTTTATGTCAGGAGGAGGAAGATTATTAACTTGAAAGATGATACAATCTTTTTATTAAAATGCACACATGGTTTCTTGTGAGAGTTGTAAACTGGCAGCTCAAGGAGACCTGGTGTGAAACCTCAACATAAACTTGCAAACGAACACTTGAAGCTAATGAGGTATCAGCTCAGTTGCTAAACAGTCCGGGGAGGGGTGGTGAAGAGAGGGAGAGGGAGGATGCTAAGCCAGCACTTGTGGAAGGAATTCTCTATCAGTCGAGGGAGATGTGAAGTGAGGGTATAATTTATTGACATCAATCTTTAGTGTTTACAGACAGAGTCAATGATAGCCGCCAGCAAACAGCTAAGGAAACATTTCAGTGTCATTGATTTGCTAGGCTTTATTCTCAGAAGAGATTTATCCCAGGCCACTGTGTACGTGTGGTGTGTGTGCGTGGGTGTGGTGGGGTGGGGGGGGGGGAGCAAGGCTATTTTTTTCCCTTCCCTTACAACAAACCTCTGACACATGAGATGCAAATGACTGCTATGATGAGGTTTCCCTGCAAATGTTATTATTTGAATAAATTTGCAAGTTATACTACATACAAACGACTTGCAAATGAGTTAACGAGTTCGCCAGCCGCCCCAGGATCTCCTGAGACGGTTTTGTGACCTCGATGCTGCGGGCAACACTTGCCATGTCCCTGGTATTGCCATGCTCCTCTAGCCACCCCGGTCACCCGGGTTCATTCCCTCGTTGCGCTAAAAGGGAAGCACCAGGCTGATACAATCACGGCACAGGGCCTGTGCCTATCTGCGGCTGATAACAACCGCACAATTAGCAAATAGTTTAAAGGAAGCCCCAGAGTTCAAACAGGTTAAAAATTACATTTCCAGATTGCAACTTATCAGCAAACGTTCAGAGACAAAAACAAACCCTTCTGTTTTCTTATTTTGTTATTACCTTCAAGCCAATCAGTTAGTCTACTGAATACCACGTACTGCTCACTCTCACACGCACACACAAGACACACACCACCACCACACACACACTTACACCTTCACTCAATCACAGACGGGGATCGGTTCTATTTGTGGAGGAACATTCTCTGCTATTTCAGGTTTATTGAACATCTGCAGCCAGCTGGGAAGGAAGGAACGGGGTGGTGCATAGAGGTGTTGTACGTCGGGAGGCTTGGCTGTGCCCTGAGCAACCGGTGACTGACTTACTTGGTGTGGAACGGGCTGATTCTCTGGTAGTACTGGTGCATGGTGTGATACAGCAACCCCACGATGATGATTTGTGCTGGCAACGAAAAACACACGGTAACAATCAGATGCCTGGAGGCACATTCCCCGGCTGATCACTGGCTCCAGCCTACGTGTTCACTGACCTGTGCTGTGCAGGAGATGCACGTGGCGAGTGGGATGCAGGCTGCAATGTAACCCTTAAGATGTCCCTTAGGAACATAGCCCACACGGAGGCCATTTGGCCCGTTGTGCCTGTACCGGTACTTTGGAACAGCTACTCAAATCAATCCCACTCCCCCCGCTCTTTCCCCACATCCCTGCAAATTTTTTTTCCTTTTCAAGCACCTATCTAATTCACTTTCGAAGGTTGTTATTGAATCTGTTTCCACCGACACTTTCAGACCGTGACAACTCTGTGTCAAAAAAAAAACAATTCTCTTTCATCTCCCTCTCTGTTTTTTTGCCAATTATCTTAAATCTATGTGCCCTGGTTACTGACCCACCAGCTAGTGGAAACAGTTTCTCTCTACCTACTCTATCAAAACCCCTCATAATTTTTAATAACTCTTAAATCTCCCCTTAACCTTCTTTGCTCTAAGGAGAGCATTGCCAGCTTCTCTAGTCTCTCCACATAACCAAAGTCCCTCATCCCTGGTACCGTTCTGGTAAATCTCCTCCGCGCCCTCTCCTCTCCCTGGAAAACAAATCTGTGAACATTTCGATGCAATGTGACATGGGACGTGGAGTTGCGAAATTCCAATCAGACTGTCTGCTAAAAATACAACCGTGTTTGGTACTTTTCCCCCCTCACAGTTTACTCAAGGCCGGGCTGTGTGACACAGCGATGTGGTAGGATACACCATAGGGAGGTGAGGGCACTTAGCTCACTGGAGTGAGAGGTGGCAGGTTTGAGCTGGTAACTCGTGGTACCTGCCACCCGCCTAGTGAGGGCTCAAACCCGTGCTTGTCGGATCTCAAAAGACCAACTGGTGACTATTCTCTGGGGGATGGGGGTGAGAGGGAAAGTAAGCGGGTTCTCCTTGGAGCTGAACTGGCTCCAAGGTGAGATGCTTGGAAACAAGAGTGCAGGAATCGAGCCAGTCCTTCTGTGGCGGTCTCGGAAGTCACAGCCAAGCCTAATACTATCCATGCCCAAAAAATCCAAACCTTCCACATCTTCCCTGGTTGGAGCGGAGGAGCTAAGATACAGACAAACAGAATCCATCTGTAAATGATGATCTGTTCGGGGCCTTCCAGCCAAACCCCAGCAACAGTAGAAACAATTACGGAGTATTAACAAAATTCATCTTCAGGGTTAGATCTGAGCGGTCACACACTCAGCGCAGAACCAAAACTTGTTTAAGGATTCTAACAACAGGTCTTCCTATTCCTTCCCCTAAAACAGAGAGTTCTACAGAAGTGTAGAACCAAAGCACAGACCGACTCTCGAACCCTACAACAACAACAAGATTCCATTTATTGAGCGCCTTTCACGTCGGGAGGACGTCCCAAGGCGCTGTACAGTTGGGTCAGGACCCGAGCAGGGGGGAAATGGTCAGGGTGAGGGGAGGGAAGGGAGGGAGCGAGGAGAGGGTACAACAATCAGTTGTATTCCGAGTACAATACACAGGCAACGAGATCACATTCATCCCTAACTCTCAGCCCAGAGAACTTCACGTTTGTGCCAAAGAAACAGGGAAACAGTTCAGAAAATATATATTTTTTTTATATTAACGCCAAAAAAAAAATTCCCTTCCAAATGTGAAACCTATCCCTAAGTTCTCATGTCTGTTCCAGTTTTTAAACGATTGCAATGGGCCTCAAAACTCTGTTCCATTGCCTGGACACATTAACCCAAACAGGAAACTCGAACAGTTTCATATAGTTTTAAACAATTCTGCAGCAAGAGTATAAATAGGGAAAGGGACGGTAAAAAACACACACACACAGACACAAAATAATGAATGTAATTGGGGCTGAGTATCCAGGGTACGTATAAAATGAGCTTTGAAAGTTGCCATAATTCTTATGAATAATAGTAAATAATAATAAAAAAACATGAGTGAGACACTTACATTTAGTATGAAAAGCTTCACCGGGGATGGAAATATAATTCTTCCCGTGAGTAGGGAAACGATATTTGTTCAGACTGACACCGCTGGGCACTTTGACCAGTGAGTAATCTGTAGGTGACCGGCAAGTAAATTAGTTCATTTTCTACCAGCGACTCCTGTTGTTAAAAGCGTGTCCTGATGTGCTGCCACTCTCTCTCTCTCTCTCTCTCTGTGGCTGGCTGAGCTGTGAGGTGTCTAGACATTTATTTATTTAACACAAATGCAGAAAATGCGCTTCCTACAAAGGCCCCGAAAGCTGATTATTAATTACACTCATTTAACAAACGAACCCCAAGGCCCACTCACAGGTGGTGAGCCATTCACACTCCCGAGTCAACAGAAACACTCTGGCGGCCTGTGAAATGACAAATTATGTCCCAAATAAGCTGATTTATTAATAATAATAATAATAATAGGTGTAAATGAAGAATGGGGGAGGCTTTCTGTGTTCCTTTTGTACACGACCGATGTCAGAGATCTGGGCAGCAAATGGCATAGGGATTTGCAAATGGCATCCGTAACTCTGTCTGTCCAGCGCCTTGGGACGTCCTCCCGACGTGAAAGGTGCTATACAAATGCAATGTTGTTGTTGTTGTCGTCGTAGGGCGAGGGTAACAAGATGGAGGCTCTGTCAAAGAGCCGGCAGAGACTCGATGGGCCGAATGGCCTCCTTCTGTGCCGTAACGTTCTATGAATCTATGAATTCTATGAAAAATTCCTGTCTCACTTCCTTTTACAATAATAATCCTTGCGTTTGTTATAGCGGCTTATCACGTCTTCCAGACTGAAGTGTAGTAACTGTGTGTTTTGTGGGCGAAACACAGCAATCAATTGTCTTATTATTATTATAATCATATTACAATGTGCTGCAGCTTGAGACCCTGCCCCAGGGAACTGCCATGTGAGGTATGTCTGAATTCCTGATAATAATAATAATGATAGTTTACAGCTAGAGTTTTGGTGGATAAATTCATTTCATTAACACCATTCGTATGGTGACATTGTCGAAACATTCTTTCACCAGAACATTAAATGGACTTCAGTCCTGCATGTTCTTACAATGAGAACACGGTTAAGCAGAGCAAATATTCTGAATGTTTAATCAGTATGGCTTATTGCTTTCGTAAGTGCATTTGCTAAACTCTCTGCACGGCTATATTGATTTACAAGGTAGAACAGCCATAACCCCATTGGAAACAGTAATCCCAGCACCATTTCCTGATGTCAGGAAAATGTCAGGAAACGTTGGAGCTTCCCAGATCACAGCACCTTTCTCTCCAGACAGATTTCAGATTTGTAGTGAACTCCATCGCAGAGCAACACGTCAGCTCCGAGAATCCACGGACTTCAACTGAGACCTGATGGTCTTGCCTTCACACTGACTGATTGCTTATGTTTCGCCCACAAAATATAAAGTCAGTTCACTTTACGGTATATTCCGCAAAGCGCTTTGAGACGACGCGGAGACGTGATAAGGCGCTGTATCAAATGCAAAGGGTTATTATTATTATTTGCTGTGCTCGAAAATGTCCACCGCGCTCGCCTACAAAAATAAGTTCACGTTGAACGGTATAAAGTGCTGTAAAAACACTTGGATCAGGTCAGAACTCACCAGCCGCGGGGGAGCTGCCCTCAATGCTGACCGGCCCGTTCAGATTCCCCTCCAGGTTTTTCGCCACGTGAAGCATGACTTTGTCCACCGTCCGAAGCAAATCGCCCACTATGGCTGCAGCCTGAGGAGCGACAGGAAGGTTTAATCTCCCGACACAGCCCTGTGCTTTCCCAGCACATTCCCACATCACTTTGCCACCAGACTGGAGACATTGCTCAGGTAGCAACATAGTTCTTGAAGCCAAGGGTCAGTTCTGGAAAAAAATACAGAGATTCTTTTCTCGCCGGAGAAGGGGAGGGGAGAGGGGTGGGAGAGAGGGGGAGGGAGAAAAGGGGCGGGGGGGGGGGAAGGGAGAGTGGGGGGGAGGTGGGGGAGAGGTGGTGGGGGGGGAGAGAGCTCACTGTTTATTCTTGTACAACATTTTACAGGACCTAGGAACGTAGGGGAGTGGAACAAACCATTGTGTCCATCTGGCCAACCCTACTTCCTCTGCCACCCTCAATCAGTTCTCTTCCCGGACCGCTCTCAATTCGCTCCTGCGCTGGGAGGCGGGCTCCACGGCTTTACTCACCCCGTAAGATTCATCCCAATTTGGCACAGCAAGGAACTCGTGCACCATCTTCAGAAAGTTCTAGAAACGAAGAAAGATCCCGTTAGCGTGTTTGGGGGCCGGGGCCCTCTTCATTCCAGAGCAGTATGTGTCACTCAATCCACGACTATTTGGGGGGGGAGGGGGGGGGCGCGGGGGTCACTGCTGTGCGCAATCGGCCGCCGCATTTCGCCCACAAAAATACACAGTCAATTTCACATTACAGTCTATTCTGGGAAGCGCTTTGAAACGACCAGAAGACGTGATACGGCGTTATATCGAATGCAAGAATTATTATTATTATTATGTGTGAACAGGGGCTGAATGTGACTCAAACTTCGGTCTGAGGCAACGTTTACCTCAGTCAGATTGGAAGCTATTGGAAGCTCCAGGGTCTTTTGGGGCAGATTCACTGAGAAGGACTCGAGGAAGCTGAATGAGGGGCCTTGATGTTGAAGTTTCCGGGACTCTTCCTGTCTGTGGGTCCCAGGTGCAGGAGAGGCAGCAGTGGAAACCTGAGGAGCACAAACAACAACAACTTGGGTTTATATAGCACCCCCTCATGCAAGGTAGTGTCCCAGAGCACTTGATGCTACAGTCACAAACCTCCATCAGTGCCAGACCAAGCTTTGTCTCAGACCCAGCCCGACCTCCACTCACCCAATTGCTCACACTCACACTACAGCTAAACTCGCTCGCACAATCGCTCACACTAAAACCCCTCCTTGCTCGTACAGTCCCACACGGTGTCGCACAGGGTGGGGTCAGGCTCAGACACTCACGATCGGACGGCTGGTGGAATTCTGACCCCAGGAGGAACGGTCCTCAATCATGCCAACAGGCTGCCCTGAGGAGAGGGAAACACAGCATCAGTCACGGTTTCCATTCAACGAAGAACATAATAATCTCTGGTCGTTGGGGTATGTCGAGGGCAATCCAAATGTCCATGCCTCAGTGGTGAAAGATTACGGAGCTTCTGCTGTGCAAAACCATGTCCGTGCGGTTTATACAATTGCATTTGATACAGCGCCTCATCACATCTTCGAGACGTCTCAAAGCGCTTCACAGAATACACCCAGTCTCCGCTTTGGTCTTCAAATTTAAGATAGTAACAGGATTGTGGAAGACTGGAGTTAGTCATCAGTTGGATGTCGGTTCCTGCTGTTTCTTAACCAGAAACCATCTTCCCAATAAAGACCGAGCTTTGAAAACATTTCTGCGGCTCATTTTCGGAGTCAAAGAGGCTGACACTGGACGAGTGTGGAAGCTGCCATGATAACCTACCTGTGGTCGCCTGGTAATAGAGTGCGATGTCCTGCGCCGACAACACTCGCTCCCAAATCACGAACTCATCGAAAGAGCCGCTCACTTGCTGACCGTAGGACTGACCACTCTCGCTGCTGGTCACCAGGTTCTCTCCATAATTCGGAGTTGCGTTCCCATAAACTCCGCTGGTCCTGAAGGTCCCATTGACGTAAACCTTCAGGCCATCTGCGGGGCTCCACGTGAAGAGGATGTGTGTCCAGTCAGGACCTGCAAACGTGCAGAAACAATCAGGGGCTGTTCTGCAGCGTAATCTATTAGGGGCTGTAATAATATTAATAATAACCCTTGCGTTTGATTTAACACCTTACCACGTCTTCGAGAAGTCTCAAAGCGTTTCACAGACTAAGCGTACTGTAAAGTGAATTGACTGTATATTTTGTGGGCGGAAACGTTCTGTGATTCTATCCTATAAATCACAGCAACGACACCTCCGCCCAAAATGCCATCAGTAAAGAGCCTGGATCTCACCTGGCGAATTGATCGTGGCTCTCCAACTTTCGATGGCCGTATGAGTGTAAAACTTTATATATCCCCCGTAAACATTTGCATGGATGGAGAATCCACTGTACCGTATCTTGCCTCCCGAAGCCATGACAAACCGGGAATGATTGCTTACATTCTTCCAGAAAAACGAAATGGTGATGCCTGCGCGAAAGAAAAGCAAGTCGTTTTGTGTGTTTTTTTTCCAAAAAAAAAATGTCTAAACCGCACACAAATGCAATCGCGAGGTTTACTCAGCAAACAAGAGCAACTTGTGTTTGTTATGTAACACTCTCGCGTTACGCCTCAGAGAACTTAACGAGAGGAAGGTACCTGCGGTATTGCACAGGGTGAGATCGCTGCCGCAGGAGGAATTGGTGTAACTACCGAAGAGGAGCAAGGTAGTGCCAGAGTCACTGCTGAGATAAATGTCCGTATTCACTACCCCCTCGACGATATCTGAAGGAGGCAAATGATGTTACATTGTTGGGCGGGACAAGGGACCTGGGTTTTTATTTTCACGCAGTCATTACGACAAGAGCTGACTTTCACATTTATCCTTTCTTCATTCCACTCGGTTTAAAATGCAAGTATTATTGTTATTATTAATAGTATTATTATTATTATAACAACTCCTTGTATTCCAGGTGAACAAGTCGTGCGTAACCCACGAACTGGATTCGAATGAGGAGCGGAACAGTCAGAGCTTTCCTTGCGCAGAACCAGAAATCAACCCCAAACTGAGAAAAACACAAGTTATCCATTCCCTAACTCCGACCCTCATTGTGCCTGCGCTGGTGTCTGCTCACCAATGGAGCTCCTTAATTCCACCACACCCACCCCACCCCTCTTTCCCTGTAACCTTGTAATATTTTCACAGCCAGCTGTAGACATTACAGCTCATCATTCACTGTCTCAGAGCAGCACCAAAACTCTTTGCTTAACATAAAATAGCAATTAGGTTTTGTTTTCAAAAAGCTTTTGTTTATTATCACATTAGGGCCAGTCATTAGGATTTTACAATTTATTAAACGTGTTCCTCACTCGCTCACTTATTCCACGCATTGCTCCATTAGTTAAGCCCTTTAGCAAAATATAAAAGCAACTTCTGTGGAAATTAATCTCTGGATGTAAACATCATTATGCCAGTGAGTCACTGATTGCTTTTCTGTCGTCAAACCACTTAGAACACAAGCTGAGAGAATGAACGCACAATAATTATTCTTGCTGAACCACTGCCTGATTATCGCATTTTGGTCCATTCTAGTAAGTGTAACAGCGGGTTAAAAAAAGACTTAACAGTGTCTGAGGAGCAGCCATTCCACTTACTGATAGAACCAGGATGATAAATAAAAGTAACGTTTGTTTTTTTGACACAGATGTAACATGCACAGGGCTTCTTCCAACTACAATTTACAAAATTACACGTCGGGAGGAGGTCCCCCCAGGGCCTGGGCAGTCAGGACCCGAGCTAGGGGTCGGGATCGGGGAGGGTGGAGGGTATGAGGGTGACCGGAGGCTCGGTCGAAGAGGAAGTTACCTACGGAGCAGTAGCGTCTGAATAACCTGACTTATTACAATCAGCCCAGCCGTTAATGACCAGCCTGTGTGTGGCTGCCCTTGGCTTGTAGGATCTCTTATCTATGCTCCCTAATTTCAGACAGGGAGCTGCAATTGACCTTAGGAATCCAGGGCTAAGGGAATGGAGGGGGTTTCATCAGCCAAGGTTCTTGCTCCCATTGCTGTCTACTGGAGCTCTCTTTCTCCTCCCCATTGAAACAAAATCGATTCAGAGTGTGCAGAGAAATACAGTGACATTTACTTAAGATGGAAATGAGTTGAAGTGGTCTGGACTCCAAACCCGGTCGTTTATCATCATTTAAGGTTTCTTGTCAGGGGAAAATTAAACATTAACTTTGTCCAAGCCTTAGGAAATGCACCAATATATGAACACCAAACTCAATTTCTCACCTACAGTTGCAGAGAGATTAGAGTAGGCAGAATCATTTGCACAGACAGAGGAAGACTGACAGGAGGGAAGCACAGTGAAGTTGTGGATTCGGAAGGCTAGTAGAAGAAGAACAAAACACAAAGAATAAAACACTAAACGAGCAAAGAGACAACAACACACTGGGTGCATCCACCAACGCCCAGAACGGCAAATGTTCCACCTGAATACATTCACAGCACATTTTCAAATGCAGTAAGCCCCTAAAAACTCGTCGCTCCCGTGGAAAACAACAACAGCAACGTGTGTTTATATCCGCCATTCAAGCGGGATAGCGTCCCAGAGCGCTTGACAGTGGCGGAGTCTGACAACGAGCTCAGGGGCAGAGGTGACCGTAAGCACGATCAAGGTCTTTTAGGAGGGATTTGAAAGGGGCGAGTGAGGGAGGGAGTTCCAGGACTCAGTGAGGCGTTATCCGGAATGGCGATTTAGGCATAATAATAATAATAATCCTTGCATTCGAAAGAGCGCCTCATCGCGCCATCTCAAAGCACTTCACAGGATATACTTTAACGTGTAGTGACTGTGTGTTCCGTGGGCGAAACGCGGCAGCTAATTGCGCACAGCAGTGTCCCGCAAAGAATCGTGGATTGAGTAACCACATTTATTATTATTATTTTGTATAAACGCATAAATAAATGCGGCCAGGATATGGATGGCATTATGACTCAAGTGGCAGTGGCAATTTAAGCCACTGTCAAGTTATCAGGAACTTACTGCACTTTGCTTTCTTTAAACAAACTACTGTACAAAATAAACAAGCCGAAGGAATGGAATATTTATAGAACAGCATCTAAACACAGCGCTATATATCTGTCCAGTTGAATCTCTCTGCAGTGTTTAAAAGTATTAAGCGACCAGATTGCTACTTGGCATTCACATACTTATGTTACTGCCATTGACATGACCTGCTCGGTCTCCGATGGGGTCTCTGAGCTCATCGATTCCCTCCACGCTGTCCAGGGGCCAGTAATGTGATGCTGATGCCAACACCTTGAAACCTGGAAAACATCGCTGTTACCTCACAAATCGCTACGCTTTTCAGAAATAATTCAAATAATTGACAGTAATTACCTGTAACGTTTCAACATTATATATGCTGCTGTATATCAAAGCAAGATTTATTACTATTAATTGCTTCGAGACTCGCTTTCCACCTTCAGAGTAATATAATAAGAACAATAAACCTTGCATTTGATACAGCACCTTATCATAGAATCATAGAATTATACAGCACAGCAGGAGACCGTTTGGCCCATTGGGTCTGTGTCGGCCCTTTGAAAAGAGCTGTCCGAATCAATCGCACTCCCTCGCGCTCTCCCCATAGCTCCGCAAACTTGTCCTTCCCAAATAATTATCCGCTTCTCTCTTAAAAGAATCGGCCCATGGCCCACACACTCATTGTCAATGTTCCCCGTTTGGGTAAAACATTGAAATGACCCCCAAACCATCCACTTTGTCCTTTTGATTACAGCTGGAATGAGTGTCAGTATTAAATACCAGGAATTAAGGATAGTTTCAAACCCACTTTTGGCGGAAAATAATTCATAAAATTTTGAAGTATTTTTTGTTAACCGGTGTTGACAAGATACACTCAGTAGTCTAGTATTTATCTTATAAAACCAGAGTTCAGGGTGTTTTATTTTAAGGCTGTGATGCAATTGGTCATAGAACTAGCTTATAAACTGAAAAAAGACTGTAAGTTGTTCAGTAACTTTAACAGCTACAAGGCACGCATTGAGTCTCAAGAGATGATTATTTTGTTGAAGGGAGGTTTTGTGGCTGTAGTAGTAATATGATTTTGTTGGCAATGACATGGGACTAAGGTTTATAAAGAAAACTGGAATGATTACAAGATGTTCTCGGGTAATTATGTGCAGTTGTTGGACCTATTTTTCTCTGGACAGTTCTGCAATGTCTCGAATGGCTCCACATGTTCAAATTATGAACCTATTGTTAAAGGCGAGGTTACGGTTGTGAAGTACAGGATCGAAGTGTGAGTCCCATATTCAATTATGAACAATTTTTCAGTTAAATAAACCTCCACAAAGAGAGGCACATAAAAGCCCAATCAAGTGAGCTACTTTACTCTGAGAAGCTTAATTCATCACCTCTCTATACTTTTACACTGAGGGTCACTGCAAGATAAGAAATTGCAATGCCACAGGGAAGAAAACAGACAACAAAAGAATGGGTAGAGAGTCCTCAGCTGAACGTCAGTCAAGATTGGAGAGAAAATTATTATATACACATTTCAAACAGAGCTCTAAGGTTTCTGCCCTATTGCAGTGGAATCCTGTAACTTAGTGGTTAAAAAACTCGCCTCGCAAGCGAGAGACCTGGGTTCGATTCCCAGCAGGGCGAAACCGTGGGCAAGTTTCCTTACTCCACACGCCTGATAATAATTTCTCAAGAAAAAAAGACAATAATAATTTGGTCACTCAACCCACGAGTTACGGGGACACTGCTGTGCGCGATAGGCTGCCACGTTTCGCCCACAAAATATACAGTCAATTCACTTTACGGTATATTCTGTGAAGCGCTTTGAGACATCTCGAAGGCGTGATAACAAATGCAAGAATTATTATTATGAAACCGGCCCACTTGAGTGGTATTACTTATACAATAAAAATACAAATTTACATGTATAGTGCCTTTCATGTCGGGAGGAAGTCCCAATTGCCATTAGCGCTATTATCAAATCAATTGATAACAAAGAGAGGCTCATAACGGCTGTGAGCCCATACTGGTGTGAAGGGTTTCACAATTCCTGCTGGGGTCAATGTTATGGAAGTTCTGGGGCTGCAGTGAAGGGGGCAAAGCAGAACTGTAGATATAAGAACATAAAAGAACATAAGAAATGCTCGACGAAAAATAGACCAAGGTCCATCTAGTTCTCCTTCGTATGCACACATGTCCCCAACTAAATATCCCATAATGATATTTCCTAAAATAAAACTATCTAATCTGTGCTTGAAGCAATCAACATTTCCTGTTTAACCATCTGTCTAGGGAGCTTTTTCCATATGTGGCTATATGTGGCTTTGCTCTGCCTGCCTGAAACAAAAACAGAAGTCGCTGAAAACACTCAGCAGGTCAGGCAGCATCTATGGAGAAAGGAAAGTGAGTCAAAGTTTCGGGTCCACGACTCTTTGTCAGAACCGGGGCATGTTGGGAGGAAGAGGCTTTTAAGGCTAAAAGAGAGGAGGGGGGGCAAGGGAGGCAAAGGAGAAAATGGGGTAAGGGACAGGGAATGATGGGTTAAAGAGATGTTACCGATGCAGAGCAAAGGGAGGGGGAATTGCAAAAATAGGCAGACCAGAGAGAGAAACGTTGTGTCTGGATAATGGTTGTAGAAGACGGGGAAGGGGAGCTGTTATGGTCTGAAATTGTTGAAATCAATATTGAGGCCAGAGGGCTGTAACGTTCCGAGCAGATAAATGAAGTGCTGTTCCTCGAGCTTGCGCTGTGGCTCACTGGAACAGCGT